TACTACTTCTACTACTTCTACTACTTCTACTACTTCTACTACTACTACTTCTACTACTACTACTACTACTACTACTACTACTACTACTACTACTACTACTACTACTACTACTACTGACTAACGACCACCAACCACCACCTCTTCCTGCCTATATATAGCCGTCCTGCTCCACCTCTGTTAGTGTGACTTTGTCAATGGTCCAAGTCGGACCGAAACGTCGTCGTAAGCTTCTCTCTTTTATGTGCGGGTTATTTGTGTATCGTTCCAGTCACGGTATTGTGCCTTTTTGTTATTTATAAGAAAGAGATGATTGTGGATGTTATGAATGAGAAGAAGCTGGATGTCCTGGCTTTAAGTGAAACAAAGCTGAAGGGGGTGGGAGAGTTTCAGTGGAGAGGAATAAATGGGATTAGGTCACGGGTTTCAAATAGAGTTAGAGCTAAAGAAGGTGTAGCAATAATGTTGAAGGATAAGTTATGGCAGGAAAAGAGGGACTACAAATGTATTAATTCAAGGATTATGTGGAGTAAAATAAAGGTTAGATGTGAAAAGTGGGTTATAGTAAGCGTATATGCACCTGGAGAAGAGAGAAGTGTAGAGCAGAGAGAGAGATTTTTGGAAATGTTGAGTGTGTGTGGGGAGTTTTGAACCAAGTGTGAGAGGTGGTTGGGGATTTCAATGCTGAAGTGGGCAAAAATGTTGTGGAGGGAGTAGTAGGTAAATTTGGGGTGCCAGGGGTAAATGAAAATGGGGAGCCTTTAATTGAGCTATGTGTAGAAAGAGGTTTGGTAATAAGTAATACATATTTTATGAAGAAGAGGATAAAAAAATATACAATTTATGATATAGCACGTAATGAAAGTAGTTTGTTAGATTATGTATTGGTGGATAAAAGGTTGATGGGTAGGCTCCAGGATGTACACGTTTATAGAGGGGCATCTGATATATCGGATCATTATTTAGTTGTAGCTACAGTTAGAGTAAGAGGTAGATGGGAAAAGAGGAAAATGGCAACAACAAGCAAGAGGGAGGTGAAAGTGTATAAACTAAGGGAGGAGGAAGTTCGGGTGAGATATAAGCAACTATTGGCAGAAATTTTTTTTATTATTATCACACTGGCCGATTCCCACCAAGGCAGGGTGGCCCGAAAAAGAAAAACTTGCACCATCATTCACTCCATCACTGTCTGTAGTGTAAAGCACCCTTCTGGCAAGACAGTGATGGAGTGAATGATGGTGAAAGTTTTTCTTTTTCGGGCCACCCTGCCTTGGTGGGAATCGGCCAGTGTGATAATAATAATAAAAAAATTGCAGAAAGGTGGACTGATGCAAGTATGAGTAGTGGGGGTGTTGAAGAAGGTTGGAATAGTTTTAAAAATGCAGTATCAGAATGTGGGGCAGAAGTTTGTGGTTATAGGAGAGTGGGTGCAGGAGGAATGAGGAGTGATTGGTGGAATGATGAAGTAAAGGGTGTGATAAAAGAGAAAAAGTTAGCTTATGAGAGGTTTTTACAAAGCAGAAGTGTTATAAGAAGAGTAGAGTATATGGAGAGTAAAAGAAAGGTGAAGAGAGTGGTGAGAGAGTGCAAAAGGATAGCAGATGATAGAGTGGGAGAGGCATTGTCATTTTGGAGTAAGTTGAGCAAGTTAAGAAAGCCTAGAGAACGAATGGATTTGTCAGTTAAAAACAGAGTAGGGGAGTTAGTAGATGGGGAGATAGAGGTTTTGGGTAGATGGCAAGAATATTTTGAGGAACTTTTAAATGTTGAAGAAGAAAGGGAAGCGGTAATTTCATGCACTGGCCAGGGAGGTATACCATCTTTTAGGAGTGAAGAAGGACAGGATGTGAATGTGGGGGAGGTGCGTGAGGCATTACTTAGAATGAAATGGGGTAAAGCAGCTGGAACTGATGGGATCAAGACAGAAATGTTAAAAGCAGGGGGGGATATAGTGTTGGAGTGGTTGGTACTTTTGTTTAATAAATGTATGAGAGAGGGAAAGGTACCTAGGGATTGGCGGAGAGCATGTATAAAGGGAAGGGGGACAAAAGAGATTGTAAAAATTATAGAGGAATAAGTTTACTGAGTATGCCAGGAAAAGTGTACGGTAGGGTTATAATTGAAAGAATTAGAGGTAAGACAGAACGTAGGATTGCGGATGAGCAAGGAGGTTTCAGAGTGGGTAGGGGATGTGTAGATCAAGTGTTTACATTGAGGCATATATGTGAACAGTATTTAGATAAAGGTAGGGAAGTTTTTATTGCATTTATGGATTTAGAAAAACATATGATAGAGTGGATAGGGGAGCAATGTGGCCGATGTTGCAAGTATATGGAATAGGTGGTAAGTTACTAAATTCTGTAAAGAGTTTTTATGAGGATAGTGAGGCTCAAATTAGGGTGTGTAGAAGAGAGGGAGACTACTTTCCAGTAAAAGTAGGTCCTAGACAGGGATATGTAATGTCACCATGGTTGTTTAATACATTTATAGATGGGGTTGTAAAGGAAGTAAATGCTAGGGTGTTCGGGAGAGGGGTGGGATTAAATTATGGGAAATCAAATACAAAATAGGTATTGACACAGTTGTTTTTTGCTGATAATACTGTGCTCATGGGAGATTCTAAAGAAAAATTGCAAAGGTTAGTGGATGAGTTTGGGAGTGTGTGTAAAGGTAGAAAGTTGAAAGTGAACATAGAAAAGAGTAAGGTGATGAGGGTATCAAATGATTTAGATAAAGAAAAATTGGATATCAAATTGGGGAGAAGGAGTATGGAAGAAGTGAATGTTTTCAGATACTTGGGAGTTGACGTGTCAGCGGATGGGTTTATGAAGGATGAGGTTAATCATAGAATTGATGAGGGGGAAAAAGGTGAGTGGTGCGTTGAGGTATACAGTGGTCCCTCGTTCGTAATTAATCCGTTCCTGGAGCCGTTACTATAAATGAAATTTACGATTTACGAATCAATTTTCCCCATAAGAAATAATGTAAATACAATTAATCCGTTCCTAACACCCAGAAGTATGAAAACAAAAAATTTTTAACGTGAAATATACATGTAGTACATAAACAATACAATGGGAAATGATGAATGAAACATTAACAGCATAACACTTACCTTTATAGGAGATTCTTCTTAGTGTATGGGAGACTGGAGGAGGAGAGAGAGTGGATTGTTTATAGTTTGGAAGGGGAATCCCCTTCCATCAACACCTCAGATACCATTTGCTTTTCTGGGGTTGCTTCTCTTCTCTGTTTCTTAATGCCACTAGGACCACCTTGAGAGTCACTGGAGTCCTGTCTCACAAAATAACTGGAGAGAGCTCTGTTTCTGGCGTCTCTTTAACACTTCCCTAAAATGGCCCAAGACTTTGTCACTGTACAGTGTACATGTTGCCAACCTGGCTTGCAACAACCTTGTTAGGGTGATGTTTCTCCATAAAGCTTTCCATCTTACCTCACATAGTAAAAATCTCTTTAATTTCTGAAGAGGGCACCTTCTTTCATCTCTCTTCCTCCTCCTCTGCAGCAAGAGTCTGAGCTGCGATGTGTTGCTCTTCCTGCTGAAGCTCTTGCAGCTCCTCAGTGGTGAGCTCTTCATTGTGGTCTTCCACCAATTCTTCCACATCCTCCAAACTCACATCCAACCCCATGGAACTCCCCAGTGCCACAATTGATTTTACAACAGACATAGGCTCATTAGAGTCAGTCCCAAATCCTTTCACTCCCTCCCAAGCCATACCTATAAGGGTTATGCAGTGGAGGATGCTGAAGTGTTCTCTCCAAAATTCCCTTAGGGTCAAGTGAGTGTCTGTGTTCACAGTCAAGCACCTGTGAAACATTGCTTTTGTGTAGAGTTTTTTAAAGTTTGCAATAACCTGCTGGTCCATGGGTTGGAGGAGAAGAGTGGTATTCGGGGGCAAGAACTTTACTGTGATGAACCCAAACTCCTCGAAAATTAGGTCATCCAAGTTTGGAGGATGAGCAGGCGCATTGTCCATTACTAGCACGCACTTGAGATCCAATTCCTTTTCCAGGAGATACTCCTTCACACTAGGGCCAAACACTTCATTGAACCACTCGACGAAAATTTCCCTCGTGACTCATGTCTTACTATTAGATTTCCAAAACACACACAATTTACTCTTCATAACATTGTTTTTCCTGAACACACTGGGATTTTCAGAATGGTACACTAGTAATGGCTTCACTTTGAAATCCCCACTAGCATTAGCGCAGAACATTAGCGTCAGCCTGTCTTTCATAGGCTTATGTCCTGGCATTGCCTTTTCCTCTTGTGTAATGAAGGTCCTCTTTGGCATTTTCTTCCAAAAGAGGCCTGTTTCGTCACAACTGAACACTTGTTCAGGTTTCAGTCCTTCACTGTTCATGTACTGGAATTCATGCACATATTTTTCAGCCGCCTTGTGGTCCGAACTGGCAGCTTCACCATGCCTTACCACACTGTGTATGCCAGTACGGTTCTTAAATCTCTCAAATCAGCCTTTGCTGGCCTTAAATCCACTCACTTCACCACTATTTGCAGGCAATTTCTTTACCAAATCTTCATGCAACTGCCTAGCCTTTTCACAAATAAATGAAGTCATAAGAGTATCTCCTGCTAATTGTTTCTCATTTATCCACACCAATAATAACTTCTCAACCTCTTCCAGTACTGGTGATCTCATTTTTGTCAGCATAGTTACTCCCTTTGCAACAACAACATCCTTTATTTCATTTTTCTTGGCCACTATGGAACATAAGGTTGTGTAGGGTTTCTTATACATCCTGGACAGTTCGGCCACACTTGTACCACTTTCATATTGTTCAATGATGGTTTTCTTAAATTCAGTCGTATTTCTCACCTTCTTTACCACAGGCTTGGCACTAGGAGCTTTCTTTGGAGCCATGGTAGCTTATTTAGTACTTGCAAGCACTAAAATAAATGGAATATTATGAAATATTTCGCTGGAGCACGCGAGGGGACCTTTCCTCACTGGTAAACAATGCCAGACTGGCTGCCGCCCTGGCCCACGCCGTGCGTATGCGTCCCGGACGAACTACGACTCACGAGTCAACCTATGAAAAGCGAGTCTATGTTTATACGAAAATACCCCTATGATTGGCGAATTTTACGATTGCCGGGAACTACGAAAAGCAGGGGACCACTGTATTTGGAGACAAAAAACGTTATCTATGGAGGCAAAGAAGGGAATGTATGAAAGTATAGTAGTACCAACACTTATATGGGTGTGAAGCTTGGGTTGTGAATGCAGCAGCGAGGAGGCGGTTGGAGGCAGTGGAGATGTCCTGTCTAAGGGCAATGTGTGGTGTAAATATTAATGCAGAAAATTCAGAGTGTGGAAATTAGGAGAAGGTGTGGAGTTAATAAAAGTATTAGTCAGAGGGCTGAAGAGGGGTTGTTGAGGTGGTTTGGTCATTTAGAGAGAATGGATCAAAGTAGAATGACATGGAGAGCGTATAAATCTGTAGGGGAAGGAAGGCGGGGTAGGGGTCATCCTCAAAAAGGTTGGAGAGAGGGGGTAAAGGAGGTTTTATGGGCAAGGGGCCTGGACTTCCAGCAAGCGTGCATGAGTGTGTTACATAGGAGTGAATGGAGACGAATGGTATTTGGGACCTGACGATCTGTTGGAGTGTGAGCAGGGTAATATTTAGTGAATGGATTCAGGGAAACAGGTTATTTTTATATAGCTGGGCTTGAGTCCTGGAAATGGGAAGTACAATGCCTGCACTCTAAAGGAGGGGTTCGGGATATTGGTAGTTTGGAAGGATATGTTGTGTATCTTTATAGGTATATGCTTCTAAGCTGTTGTGTTCTGAGCACCTCTGCAAAAACAGTGATTATGTGTGAGTGAGGTGAAAGTGTTGAATGATGATGAAAGTATTTTCTTTTTGGGGATTTCCTTTTTTTTTGGGGGGGTCACCTTGCCTTGGTGGGAGACGGCTGACTTGTTAAAAAAAAAAAAATTGTTATTAATGCTCAATTTTTTTTTTTCAACAAGTGGCCGTCTCCCACCTAGGCAGGGTGACCGGAAAAGAAAGAAAAACCCCGAACCGAAAATACTTTCATCATCATTCAACACTTTCACCTCACTCGCACATAATCACTGTTTTTGCAGAGGTGCAAAAAGTGTTGGAGTGTGAGCTGGGTAATATTTTGTGAAGGGATTCAAGGAAACCAGTTAGCCGGACTTGAGTCCTGATAATGAGAAGTACAATGCCCACACTTTAAAGGAGGAGTTTGGGATATTGGCAGTTTGAAGGGACTCCTAAACTGTTGTATCTGAGTGCCTCTGCAAGGACAGTGATTATGTGTGAGTGAGGTGAAAGTGTTGAATGATGATGAAAGTATTTTCTTTTTGAGGATTTCCTTTTTTTTTTTGGGTCACCCTGCCTCGGTGGGAGATGACTGGTGTGTTAAAAAAAAAATGCACATATATGTATCTCAGTGTATATACATCAAGATGTGCATAACTCTTAATGTATATACACATATATGTGTATCTCATAGTGTACATACACTATCATTCTTCAAAAGAATTTTTTAGAAAAGTTTAACCCGTTGACTGTTTCGGCCGTATATATATGTTTTACCAGCCAGTGTTTCAGATGTATATACATGTATACTCGATAATTCTAGCGGCTTCAAATCAAGCAGGAGGAAGCTGGTAGGCCCACATGTGAGAGAATGGGTCTGTGTGGTCAGTGTGCACTGTATAAAAAATCCTGCAGCACACAGTGCATAATGAGAGAAAAAGAACTCCAACCGTGTTTTTGGATTAAAACGCCGACTTTGAGATATATTTTCCTATAGTATTTATGGTTGTTTTCTCATTTTCTTGGTCTTATTTGATAGAATGGGAAACATATTACAGAAATAGAGATGATTTTGATTAGTTTCAAAATGAAAACTACCTTGAAGTTGAGCTCAGAGTAGTGGAAATGTTCGATTTTTACCAATGTTCAAGAGTAAGGAAATCACACCACACGTGCAATACACATCAACTGGGGAGTCTGATATTCTTTCACTAGTGCACTGATATTATTTATACCATTTTTACAATAATGCAGTAGTCTGCATAACAGTAAATCTTCTATTTTTTGTGTGAATACAAAATCAAAATAGAAAGCAATAGTAATATAAGAGGGGCCTGGAGACATGACTAATGAACAGAGGATTTGTTATTTTAGTGCCAAGAATGTCTGTATTGTTTATTCTGTACCCTGTTTTGAAATTGGCATCTTTTTTAATTTGTGTGAAATTGGCCAAATTGCCAATTTCTGACCACTTTATTGGGTTGTTGAAATCAGTAAATGGGCAGTTTCTAGTACTCAATTGATAGATAAAATGGAGTTCTAAAGAAATAGCTATGAGTTTGGCCGACTGGAACAATGCAGTTGTCTGAAAATAGGGGTCAAAGACGGCGAAATCGCCAAGATCGCTAACTTCGTGGGAGCGTAATTCCGTAAGTTTTCAATGAAATTTCATATTTTTGGTGTCATTACCATTGGGAAAAGTCTCTATCATTTCATAAGAATTTTTTTTTTTTTTCCAAAAATTTTTTGACACCAGGAGACACTTCAGGATTTGGGGTGGCGACAGTCAAATGGTTAATTTTGTCATCAACGTATATTAAAAACAAAGAGAATTTCAGGTAGGGTAAAAAATTTTAGTTCTTAAGCTTATTTTGTATTGATGAGATTGTGTATTAGGTCTATAATAGCCACTATATTAGCCGTTGTCTCTGGATAGAGCACTATGCCCATTTTCTTTGGAAAGGATAGAGAATATAGTGTCAAACACCTTTACTGAGTTTTTACTTAATATTTCGGTGCATAATATAAATAAACAGGCAAGAGCATATATAATATATTTTGTCGAAGCTTTCATTATTCTTGGCAAAATAAACACTTTAACCCGTTAACTGTCCAAACATTAATCTGCATTCTCTTGCTCAGTGCTCCGAATATTTTGAAAAAAAAAAAAAAAAAGTTTTTTTTTTTTGTTTTTAATTAAAGAGGGCAATTTTCTGTGTGTAATAAGACCAAAAAAAAAATTTTTGAGGGTCAGTACTTACCTAGTTATAAGACCATGAAGTTGGCACTGGTTGCTTATGTGATAATCCCAATTTGTAGTAATTCTTGTGATTTCATAGCCATTGTTTGTTCTGACACTAATATTAGGTACTGAAATATGTAATATTCAGTTAGTCACACACTGACAGGTAAATGTTTTCACCTGCTTTGGTTGCGTACTATTGTCTAGAAATATATATTAAGTATTTATAGGTCCCAGCAATGTTTTAGACATGCTGGAGTATATATGAAACTCCTTGAAGCACGGTGTAAGATGAGTGTCACTCCACTGCTGACAGAGGAGCAGTGGAGTGACACTTGATGATCGTGCACTACCTTGGCCTTGTTTGTTTTCACTGTGACATATAAACATATCTGTCTATCTGTTTGTCTATTTGTCTGTCTTTCTCACTCTGTCTCTGCTTATCTATCTGCCTGTGTGCCTGTCTTCCTGTCTCTATCTGCTTGTTTCTCTTTCTGTCTCAGAGAGCCACTCATGAGCCAACAGGTATTACACATGATGCAGAGTAGTCAGGTCTGATTCCTGAACAAGTGAAAATGTGTATTACTGGCCAGTCATGCTTATTATGCCTTATATCTACAAGCATAGTATAGCACTTTGTCTTGTTTTTTTTTTTGGGGTTATCCTAGGTAAGTTACACTATGTATAATTATTTGTGTGTACCTGTTTGGAGGGATATGTTGTCTATCTTTATACGTATATGCTTCTAAGCTGTTGTATTCTGAGCACCTCTGCAAAAACAGTGATAATGTGTGAGTGTGGTGAAAGTGTTGAATGATGATGAAAGTATTTTCTTTTTAGGGATTTTCTTTTTTTTTGGGGTCACTCTGCCTCGGTGGGAGACGGCCAACTTGTTGAAAAAAAAAAAAAAAACTGTGAGAGTTAGAGATAGACAGAGATAGAGACAGAGATAGAAAGATGGAGACAGATAGACAGACAGATACAGAGATGCAGAGACAGGCAGAGATACAGAGACAGCCAAAGTCAGTCAGCCACCCACCTGGCCACTCAACCTGCCAAAAGACGTTTTACACATGTTGGAGAATTGTTTCTCTTTGCTGAGGGCATAGGTTATAGGACATTCTGGCAGGATGACACTACCAGTGGTATCAAAATTGAAAGGACGTGGCACATATATTACACACGAGTTATCGAGGTTTTTGATATTTCCTCGACCACTTGTGGCCACATCCATCTCAAAGCCACTAAACTCAGGGTCAACATCACTTTCCTCTTAAAAGGGTCATGTTAATATGACATGACATCGGTGAATCTCTGGTGTTTGCCACGTCATTTGCTCTAGCTGGCACTCAATTGAACCGGTGCTCCCACAAAGTGCTAAGTGGTCCCAAATTTTTTTAATACTGTGCACACCGAGTGTTAAGGCCCATTCTATACTGACCAGGCATCTCAGGCCAATCATCCCAAATTTGGAGGCAGGAAAAATAAAACGTTGATCTACGTTTGGAGCGCTAGCGGTAAGATCTACATTTGGACAGTTAAGGGGTTAAGCTATTTATTTGGTAGGTGCCATTAACCTAATCCTGTTGTTTTCATAGTGTGTATATTTCATAGTGCCAAATTACATAAAACTCCAATTTCAGGAACAACTTCCATGTTATGTGAGGTGTGCTTGTATTGTAATAACTGGGTTCATTATCAAGTTATATTTTAAACTAAAAATACAATTTTGTAAGTATATTTTTTACCTTTTCAGATCGACGGTTTACTCCTTTTGAGGCAGCGTGTCACCCATTTGTGGCCTGCTCCACTCCATTTTTGTACCTCACGCCCTCCCCAGGTATATAGTACTTCATCTCTGTGACCACATAAAATACAGCCTCTCCTCACCTAATGATGTACTCGTTTACCGACGACTGACTTACAACAGGCTCTCTGACCAGTATGCATACCTAAATGTATATTAGAGGTGATTTTCTCTGTTCTGTTGTGTACAGTATACAGTACACTACTGTATAAACATTGAAAAATATACTAAAAATGTTATAATGGGTGCAAAGGTGATATTAAAATATCAAAGATGGTTGACACAAACTCAATACTATTATAGTATGCTCCTTGCTTAGCGATGAATTCGTTCACCAGCATGGTCTTAGGAACGAACTCCATCGTTAAGTGAGGAGAGGCTGTATTTGCATTTAAACCAGCGCACAAACTAAAAGGAAAAAGTCAAGATGAGATAAAATTTAATGACTTTCTTTTTACCCGGCAAAAAATTCAGGAAAATGTTTAATTTGAAGCACTATCTGTTTTACCATTTCGTTTAGTACTGTACAGTATTTTTAATTAAAAGAGGTAGTCAAGTAACACACGGAACATTTTTATGGAATATAGGACATTTAGATGCAGTGAATGCCTTTATTAATGACGCTCTGCCCACATAGCTCAGTTTATGAAGTCGGATAATACAGTAGGGCCCCACTTATATGGCAGGTTAGGTTCCAGGCTACTGCCGTAAAGCGGAAATCGCCGTAAAGTGGAACACCCTTTTTTTCCTCTTATAAATGCATACAAATACTAGATAACAAGTTTACACTAACATATATTAAGTTAACAATAGACATTAAAAAACAATAAAAAAGTAAAATACACACATAGTGCACTCATTTCTTACCTTAAAATATTTGTAGTCTTAATCTAGGGTGAGATGATTAGTATTTATTGTAAGAAATCAAGTGTGGTATGTATGGTAGCCAGCCAGACCACCCCACCCACACATACTATTCTATGATATTTAAGCATCCCGGAGCAATAAAATGCATATACAGTTCACTCATTACTTACCTTAAAATATTTGTAGTCTTAACCCTTTGAGGGTTTTGGCCGTACTAGTACGGCTTATGACCCAGGGTTTTTGACGTACTAGTACGCCTAAATTCTAGCGCCCTCAAATCTAGTGGGAGAAAGCTGGTAGGCATACATATGAAAGAATGGGTCTATGTGGTCAGTGTGCGCAGTATAAAAAAAATCCCGCAGTACACAGTGCATAATGAGAAAAAAAAAACTTTGACCGTGTTTTTGGTATAAAACAGCGACTTTGCACTGTATTTTCGTATGGTATTTATTGTTGTATTCTAGTTTTCTTGGTCTCATTTTATAGAATGGAAGAAATATTACAGAAATTGAGATGATTTTGACTGGTTTTACAATGAAAAGTACCTTGAAATTGAGCTCAAAGTAGCAGAAATGTTCGATTTTTACCAAAGTTCAAAAGTAAACAAATCATGCCAAGCGTCCAATACAAGTCAACTGGTGAGTCTAATATTCTTTCACAAGTGTGCTGATATTATTTATACCATTTCTACACTAATGCAGTAGTCTGCATAACAGTAAATTTTCTATTTTTTTTTGTAAGAATAAAAATTCAAAGTGGAAAGCCAAAGAAATATAAGAGGGGCCTGGGGATGTGACTAACGAACAGAGAACTTGTTATTTTAGTGCCAGGAATGTTTTTCTTGTTTATTCTGGACCCTATTCGGAAATTGGCATCTTTTGAAATTTGTGTGAAATTGGCAAAATTGCTAAATTCTAACCACTTTATTGGATAGTTGAAATTGGTAAATGGGTGGTTTCTTGTACTCATTCGATAGAAAAAATGGAGTTCTAGCGAAATAGTTATGATTTTTGTCGGCTAGTACATTGGAATTGGCTGAAAATAGGGCTCAAAGTGGGCAAAATCGCCGATGCGTAAAACATCGTCGAGACCACTAACTTCATGAGAGCATAATTCCGTAAGTTTTCCATCAAATTTCATCCTTTTGGTGTCATTATGATCGGGAAAAGCTTCTCTATCTTTTCATAAGAATTTTTTTTTTTTTTTTAAATTTTGGCGACCCTGAGAACAAGTCTCTGAGAGGGCCAGGCGACCCGAAAAGGATTAATCCATTCCAAACAGTGTGACAAAAGTTGAAATTTACGAATGACGAAACCATTTTCTCCGTAAGCAATAATGTAAATCCAATTAATCTGTTCCAGACACCCAAAAGTATTAACAAAAAATATTTTTATACATCAAATATAGATTTACATACAGAAAAGAATGAGACATCAAATATAAAACAAAAATAACATCACACTTACCTTTATTGAAGACTGTTGTTGGTGTATGGAAGACAGGAGGAGGGGAGAGGATAGAGAAGTTACACTAATGTTTGGAAGGGAAATCCCCTTCCATAAGGACTTTAGGTACCAAGTCCTTATCTGGGGTTATTTCCCTTCTTTGCTTTTTAATGCCACTAGGACCAGCTTGACCCCTTTCGCTCAAAAAATTGTTTCATATAACTCTGTTTCTGGCGTCTCTTCAAAATTTGTATCAAATGGGGCAAGACATTGTCATTGTACATGTTGCTGACACGGCTTGCAACAGCTTGTCAGGGTGATGTTCCTCCATAAACATTTGCATCTCACTCCACTTCACGCAAGTATACTTAAGCTTTGAAGAAGGCACCTTCTTCCATCTGTCTTCCTCCTCCTCTGAAGCAATTTCCTCAGCTGTGGTCTGTTGCTGTTGCAGATGAAGGTCTTGCAGCTCTTCAGTGGTTAGCTCTTCAGCGTGGTCCTCCACCATCTCTTCGACATCCTGGCCACTCGCATCCAACCCCGTGGAATTCCCCAATGCCACAGTTGATTGCACAACAGGTGTAGGGTCGACAGGGTCAGCCTCAAACCCTTCAAAATCTTTGTCGAGGACACAATCTGGCCACAATTTTCTCCAAGCAGAGTTCAAAGTCCTGGAAGTCACTTCCTGCCAAGCTTTATCTATAAAGCCTATGCAGTGGAGGATATTGAAGTGATCTTTCCAGAACTCTCTTAGGGTCAATTAAGTGTCTGAGGTTACATTAAAGTACCTTTGAAACATTGCTTTGGTGTACAGTTTTTTGAAGTTTGAAATGATCTGCTGGTCCATGGGCTGGATTAGAGGAGTGGTATTAGGGGCAAGAGCTTCACTGTGATGAAACTAAACCTCATCCACCATTTGGTCATCCATGTCTGGAGGATGAGCAGGAGAACTGTCCATTACCAGGAGCACTTGAGTGGCAAGTTTTTTTTTTCCGAGGTATTCCTTCACACTCAGGCCAAACACTTCATTGAACCAATCAAGGAAAATTTCCCTCGTCCCCATGCCTTACTGTTAGCTTTCCACACACACACAATTTACTCTTGGTGACATTGTTTCTTGAACACACTGGATATTTTCAGAGTGATACACCAGTAAAGACTTGACTTGGAAATCCCACTAGCATTACCACAGAACATGAGAATTAGCCTGTCTTTCATAGGCTTGTGTCCTGGGAGTGCTGTTTTCCTCCTCGTGATGTAGGTGCTCTTTGGCATTTTCTTGCAAAAGAGGCCTGTTTCATCACACTTGAACACCTGTTGGGGGACAAATCCTTCAGCCTCTACATAGTCCTTGAATTCCTGCACAAATTTCTCAGCCGCATATTGTCAGAACTGGCAGCCTTGCCATGCCTTACCACACTGTGTGTGCCACTACGCTTCTTAAATCTCTCAAACCAGCCTTTGCTGGCCTTAAATTCACTAATATCAGCACTCGTTTCAGGCATTTTCTTTACGAGATCAGCATGCAACTGCCTGCCTTTTCACAAATTATTGACTGTTAACTGTTTTTGGTTGATCCACATCAACAATGAATTCTCAACAACTTCGAGTATTCGCGATCTCTTTTTTGTGAGCATATCTACCTCTTTTGCAGCAACAGCTTCCTTGATTTCCTTTTTCTTCGCCACAATGGAAGCGATGGTTGTATGGGGCTTTCCATACATCCTGGCAAGATTGGCCACACGCACTCCACTTTCATATTTTGCAATGATTTCTTTCTTGAATTCTATTGTTTCTCACATTCTTTACCAAAGGGCTGGCATTACAAGCTTTCTTTGGGCCCATGGTGGCTTATTTAGAAGTTGCAAACACAAAAAAAATGGAATATTACGAAATGTATCATGTGGACAAGTGCAGTGATGTTCAGCCACCAATAAACAATGCCACTCTGACTTGTAGTGGTGTGTGGGGCACCTTTGTGTGGCACAGATGCTGGGAGGCCACTTGTATGCGTTCTGGATGAGTGACGAATGGCGAGCCAAATTATGAACCACGAGGCTATATTTTGATGAAAAAATGTTACAAAAGGCAAAATTTACTAAGGCTTATGAAACTCGAGGGTCCACTGTACTGCATTTTTAAAACTATCCCATCCTTCTTCACCCCTCTCCCCTACTACCCTTACTTGCACTAGCCCACCTTTCTGCCAATAGCTGCTTATATCTCACCCTAACTTCCCTCTCCCTTACTTTATAAACTTTCACCTCTCTCCTACTTACTGTTGCCATTTTCCTTTTGTCCCATCTACCTTTTACTCTAACTGTAGCTTCAGCTAGATAATGATCCAATATATCTGTTGCCCTTTATAAATATGTACAGTAAGGCCCCGCTTTACGGCGTTTTGCCTTACGGCGTTCCGCTAATACGGCGATGTCAAATTATGACCAAAATTTGTTATACAGCAAGTGGTCTTTTAAATACGGCGCCCCCCACCCGGTTTGTTTACATTTTCCGTGGCCACATCTATTATGTCAGGAAGCTTTCCAAAATTTAAGTGTTTTAAAGTTACTGCATATTTTATATGTACTCTGATAATTATACTTATGTGTACCTGTACCTAAATATACTTACACACTGTGCTGGTGTGCAGGTACACATTAAAATCGCTAAGTCTCTCTCTACTCATGACGCCAATGCTACTTAATAATAATCACTCTTGGG